AGTGAAGGCCGCTAGAGGAAACCAAACTAAGCTAGATTGCATGGGTGTAAGACATGAATTATGTTGCCTCATATCTGCTATCATATCTTGCTTCATGCCACATAGTAGCCAACCAGTCAGAGGTTAGACGGCAGCTGTAAACCTCTGCAGATGTCCCTTTTATTTACAGTTTGACTCACTACGGCGTTCAATCCCCAAGCCACACAAAACTCAAAACTGGAATGCCAAGCATGAGCCCATCTCTGTTTTTCCATTTAAATGTTCAGTTAGATCAAAGGGCCTGGCGAGCACACACAGGAGTCCGTGACAGTCCATCTTAGTCATGTACCATGAGATAATGCAGGCGGGGCCGTAAAAGCTGATATCCTTCCAGATGCAAACCAAATGTAGACATCATCCACCTCTAAAATGTTATGCATTCAACACAGACCACTATAAAAAAAAGGTGGTAGGAGGTGAGGGAACAACATCATATTGATCCTGAGAAGCTAACCCAACACTTATGCAGCTGATAACCAATGTCATGAACAGAGAACCATCTCATGGGTGATAAACACTAACTTGGATCATCATTTTTATCTCAAGGAACCAGCTCGCTCATGTCACCAGTTGTAGGGCATATATAAAGGGAATTTAATAAGTTAAAGATGAAGTGGAGCAAAACATACAACGATCAGCCCCATCCTTCTATCAGTGACATCTTTAAAACTAAGACTCACCCTCCGTCATTCTTACTGCAGCACTCCAAAATTAAAGTCAAACTAAAATATACAAACACAAAAAAAAAAGGAAATTCTCTCGAAACTGAACAACATGAACTTTAAGCAGTATTGTAAAACACATTACATGTCATCCGACTATTTAGCCTGTTGGCTGAATTAGTTTGAAGAGAAGCTTGACCGACCGAGTTGATCTGTAAACACACCTCAGTCCAAATATATATGAGCCAAAGATCAAACAGGCGAAACAAGGTAAAGACATGTTGAGGGAAAGCGCAGCGGCAGACTAATCAGCCCCCTCCAACGCTCACATATAGCAAATCAATGAAATACCTGGGGCCGCAGGCCTGCGCTATATTACACACCAAAACTTCATATTCACTCATTGATTTTACTTTTCAGAATAGTATATCACTGAACTCCAATGGGAGTAGAAAATAGAGGCCAGGGCTGAGGTCAACCCTCGCGTGGACGGATGTTTGCACAATATTGATGGCGCAAGCAGAAAGAAATGACTAAATATCTGGATCAATAGCTAGTTTCCCTAGCCAACGACAGGTTGTTCCAGATGGAAATATATAAATACTTCTTTATGGCTGCTGCAGTGGCCCTAACGAACAGGGCTAAATGCCCCCCCTTAAGGTAAACTCTTTGATTAGCCAGGGCCAGAGGTGACAAGTGCGGTCTGCTGATGCTCCTACGCCACGCTTCCAATGGCCTGAGGATGCTAATGCACACTGGGGCCCAGTAAAGGGGCCACGGATATAACAGGTCACAAGCCCTGGGCAAAGTGCTCTGTGCTACCTGACCCTGCTATTCATTTGTAATGACGATGGGCCCAGGCTACGCCGTTCTCGGTCATGTTCAAGTAATGCATACCATGAATAATTTAGGAAAACTTTTCTACAGTTTTCACATAAAGCCACTTTTGTAATTGCAGTAATCAGAACTACAACTGGTAGTTTTAGTATAGTTAGGGCCTAAAGAAACAAATTTGCAAGTGGAATTCTCCAATTTTCAGCCACATGAAGCACGAATGAAGGTAAATATGTGGAGCTTTGAGTAATCAACTCAGGCCAACGTGCCGCAGCTGCTGTTGGCACAAGAGCTGCCTATTCTTATTTACAGCACAACACAATTACTGCAAACAACACCCAACCTCACAGCTTCCCCTGCTCCACAGCGGCCAATGGGGCCATAAAGAGGGAGGAACCACATAATTGCCTGCTCTTTAATTAAATGAAAGCTATATGGTTCATTTGCCTCCTTTTTTTTTTTTTTTTTACACGTCTAACTGGCCAGCCCACTGCTGAAGACCTCCCAGACGCCATCCCTGCTTGGCCCTAAATCATGACTGGATAGACTGCCCGGCGGGTCACTGCTGGACACACAGTGGCCGCCCAGCGGCAAGGCCAGAGCAGGGCACGCGGTGGATCGACACCTAGCCGGCGATAAGTAATTCTGTAGAGGATTAGCAGCATGATAGCCTGATCAATACTGTGTGCTCAGGCCATTAGGAATGCAGCGAGGAAATGACCCCCTCCGGTAATAAAGCAGGGCATCTGGGTTCTCCTTCATTTGCCAGCTCCATTAGTGTAATGGTATCATTATCTGCCACAGTCGTATTTTTTTCGGAGCCTTGGCTTTTCCACAGTTGGGCCGGCGGGGGTCTGATGAAGCTGTGAGAGCCCCCATGCAGAGTGTTCCCCTTTCTACCATTCTATACAGAGCCAAGGTGTAAATCTAGCTCTGTTGGAGCTTATGTGCTACCCTGCCTTAGGTATCCAAACCCATGTTTTATGTCAGCACCCAGCACTATTTCTCCATCATTGGCTCATTAATAGAGCGGGCAGCATGTAGCTCGGGTTAAAAGGGAGAAAAAGATGGCCGGCAGAGCACAAAGCTGCTGAATGTGCTGAATCCGACAAGCCCACCCCCCCTCATGCTAAAACACCAGGCCTGACATGACAGGACGTCGGCATTAGTCGCCATAAATCGTTTCCTTTACACTAATTCACCAGCTAACATTTTGTGCGGGAGAATTGATTAACCATGTCTGGATGTGTGGCCACATAATCAGCTTTTACCTCGGTAGTTGTTAATTTAACAGAATTGCCAAGGGAAACACAAACCATTTTAATGAGTGTTCAGAAATTAAATACCCTAAACAGCTTGCACTATAGGTGCCACAACCAGAGCAAAGCAATGAGGCTGATCTAAGCAATGGGCTGAGCTGAGCCCGGGACCTCACAACATCTGGTGACCCTGTGTGATCATTACTTAGCCTGCCGCTCACACACACACACACTTCCTGTTTCGACACAGCACTTTATACTTGTCATCACCGTCCAAATGGCGAGCTTGCATCAAAGACAGCATTAAAACATCGGGTTAAGGGACAGGGTCAGGGCCGTTTTCACACTTGCCAGGGCATGAGTGAAATTTCATCCTGTGATGACAATACTGATAAAACATAATTCATTAGGGTGAAGGGCAAGTTGAATGTTGCCATGAGGAGGACATTCATGGCAATGTAGCTATTTGAGAACCTTATAAATAGTCTGCGATTGTTGTAGTTGTAGTAACAACGAAGAAAACAGTGAGTGTGTCTGACAATGTCTGATGGATCAATCCATAGAAATGTTTTATTATTTTGGATTTTGGAATTCAAATCTATGTCAATCAATGTGGACGGGGTGTGAATAACTCTCCCGGAGAAGATAGGCAAATGTCCTATTCTATTTCATGGAGAGGATATATATAGAGTATGGCATCCCACCTGTCAGTGTGCTTTACTGACCTGCTGTGGTGGGATTTTCTAAGGAGATTGTGTATTCATTTGGCACTAATTCCCTGAATGACAGTGGACCTACATATCGGATTCCTCACTTTGTGCAGCATTGCAAACATTGCACACGCTTACTGCATAACCAAGTTATTAGTTACTGTCATACTATCTGTACACCCACTGATATTATACAAAAAAGTGGCCAAAATGCATGCAGCTCTTTCCTTGGTTTCTCGAACAGTCATGCAGTCACTTTACAATTAAATTCCTCTCGCTCATCCTTATATTCATCTATAAAGAAAGGAAGCTAAGCCATTAGGTCTGTGCAGTTCTGCCTGACTGCCTGAGGGCCAGCTGGAATGAGTTCTCTCTCTGAGCCGCTCATCTGGCCGCCATGGCTGCTTTCATAAACAGGAGGAACCACGTCTTACATAGTTTCACTGCTGTCTGACATGATCCAAACATATGTGCCACGGCAGACGGCATCCAATTCAGGAGATAAGAGGAGGAACAGACAGAAGAGTCAGACAGACAGACACCATGACTATAGGCGAAACACATCCCAGGATGCCTGCACACCAGAGCTTCCCTTCCTTCCTTTCCTTTAGGATCTTAACGAAAACCACAAAGTTACGGGTTTTAGGCTGTAGAGCGTGGAAAGCCCGGATAAGCCCAGGTCAGCACGAAACACCGCTTAACGCACCAGCACACACAACAGTTGGTCAGCACAGGTTACATACATGCATGCATCCCATCACTGTTCATCCTGCACACACCTCACTGGTACAGTTTAGCAGGTTCTACAGATGGCATATTCACAGAGGGTATTATTTGAGGACGGCCATTACTACATTAGCCGACAACTCATCATTTCTAGAGCACCAGTTCGTATCCACTGTATCTACTGTAAAGCCTGAAGCAGCTGGACTGCCGCCTTGCCAACTCTAAACTACCCTACACACCAACTTGACCATTTGTTTTACTGTGCTGTTTGTTGCTTTACTTCTCCAAAGAACTGATTCATTGTTTGTGCTCCAAACTACACTGGCATCACAAATTAGGCTTAAACGCTCCCTTTTGTTTTGTATCATTAACATGTTAACTCCTACAACCTATAGAATAGTTCTGAGTTGAACTATGTTCTTACAAATAACGTCACCCTACAAGCTGTGATTCATCTCGTTATCAGTTGATATGGGGCGTGCCGAGACGTTTATCCCGCGTGCTACAGCTTCTCCTCGGCAGTGTATTTAGGTGACAAAGCACCGTTTTAATGTAACTGTAATTCTTCATTGTGGAAGTCTGTGGGGGGGGGGGGCAGAAAATGGAAAACACAATAAAGGAAACAGGCAAGGTGAGGTATGCGCTGACATTCACGGCTTTGTAGCCGTTAAAAGGCAGCCAGCAGCATCACACGCGGAGCATTAGATATTCAACGAGCGACAGGACTTAACAAATATGCCAGACCTAATGGAGAAAAACGCTATCAATACCTTTCTTCTCTTCTCCCCCTCACTGTCACCCGATCTTTTCATGTTCCGGACTTGTGTTTACACTGCCTCGCTTTCATTAGAGGCGACCCTGGTTGTTGTAGTACACGACTACATGGTATTTATATCAATTCTCGTGTTAGAAAAGGCACATGCACGTGCAGTCTTCCGCGTTATTTCAGTCACAGCCCGGTCGTGAATATTTTCAGTGCAAAATGTTTTTTGGTGGCGAGATTGTTGAAGGGGATTCTAAAAGCGTTGCGTTGAGAACTACAAGTCCCAGAGTAAACGTGTGCTCGCGGCGGAAGCAGCTTTCGGCACGCTCTAGAGGTTGCACTGCGCAGATGCAGCGCAGGTACAGATTCACAAATAGTCATCGGCAAGTTTAGAAACTTGTTAAATCAGTGATTTAAAGTTGTACAGCCCTTAAAATGGCTGTGATATGACAAAAAATGAAAGAAACCGATATTCAAAAGCAAAAGCAACTACACACTTGTATTATTATAACTATTATTAATGTTATTATTATATCTGTGGGAGGTAGTCGTGGTGGTAGTAGTTCATCAACTTTTTTTCAGTTTTACATTTAGAAAAATGCAAAATTTCCTCTTCTAAAATATCCTGGTCTTCAACATATTCCATATGCTTCCCCCTTTTTGTAATCAGAAGCAGTTCCACTTTCATCTCAGACTATGTGTAAAAATAGCAATCATGCTTTGAACATGGTCCAGTTCAAGTCCCGCCAAATTTCTTTCAACTCCTGCATGCATCTTAAATCCAGGTGCCCTTCTGCCGGTGTGGGCTTCAACCACGTCAGCCCTTTTCAACTCACTGCTGATCATGAAAGTGCACCGTAAAATGCACATCACCGCCCATGTGGCTGCCTTTATGCATCACCCGCAGTTGAGGTACGCTCCGAGAGTTCATCCTCATAACATGTTTTGAATAGTGCTGAAATGTGTTCTGTCCATTGTTCCCTATCAAAGCACATGTGAAATAGTTTCACGGATGGAGCGGCGGCCGTGGTGGTGGGAGGGTGGTGCAGCGGCGGATTGCAGGGGCCTGAAACACCTGCTACATATTACAGACTTTGATCAGTGTCTTCATTAGTTTCCTTTGTAATCTCTTTTCTTTTATGGTAGAGCTGACCCAAGTTAGCCGGGTACAATGATTTAACACACATGTTTCTTTCACCTGTCTTGTAAAATGCTCACAAGCTCTCCCACTTTCAAAGTCGTCGGTGTCTCTGGCATCCCTTACTAATAAACGGAGGGGGGTTCTTTTGATTCCTATTTATAACCTACATTTCCTCTCTTCTGTTCTGGTCCTCCAAAGGGAGTCTATGTTTGAAAAATACCCTTGGAGTCATTTTGCGAAAACTAGATCCATATGCATGGATATATAGTTGTTTTTTTCACATTACCATATGCCAGCCTGTAATGTCATTTTAGAGCTACTATCGTGGAAAGAATCGTAAATAATTTCTTTATTTTTATCTTCTAATGTCAAAATCTGCCTTCATCCAACCTCCATCACCCCGATCCATCATTACACTATGTTCCTTTTGTGCGTCAAACCATCAGTCACGTATTCCCACTGTCAATCATCTTTATGGTATAACATTTCAAGGAACAGAGGCTTCTCTGCCTGACTGTTTTTGGCTGAGTCTGTCAGATCTGGGGCTCTTCCAGTGAACATATGTATGGGGTCTTTACTGGCAGACAGGCCACTTACCTTGTCCGAAAAAACCACCGCAGTTGCTTGGTTTTTAATTCCATCGCTGGTGGCCCATTGGTGGGATGGTGTGAACGTCCTCACAACCCACATGGCTGAAGAATCATGTGTGCACATTGGGCCCTATTAAATTTTCATATAGTATATAAACCATTCGAATCATGGAGTTTAGTTCTTAGTAATAGCGGTTCGTGGAATCAATTCAAAAGCAGGGTAGAGGGAATTGCTTTGATCATAATTTGGTGCGCTACTTTAAAAATGCAATTTAATACATTAACAAGTTACCTTATAAAAACCATAATACAATTCATGAGACAGAAAACCTCATTACTTTTTGGGGAAATGCGTTGATTTTCTTTCACTCAGAGAGTTAGATGTGAAGTTTTATACCATTCTCTGCCGTTAGAGCAGTCTCCTCTTTAATGCAACTCTTAGCAAGAAAACTAAAATAATTTTTTCCCCAAATGACAACCTGTTCCTTTTAATATTCGATTTTCTGGGCTGTTAAAATCCTTTTTAAAATCCTTTTTAAAATCCACACCACAGCATTCAAACCATAAACACAATCCATCATTACTTTAGGCAACACTTCAAACCATCATTCATGTGTTCTCACGGTCAATCATTGTGATGGGGAACATGTCTAAGAGGAGAAAGTTCTGTGGACCCACACACCCCCCCCCCCCCCCCCCCCCCCCCGCACAACCGCCCACCAGCCACCC